CCAATCAAGCTGGTTTCATCATAACAGTTTCAACCACACATAAATTAAACTCTTGTTGAATACACATTGATGTTTATGTGGATGCTTCAGTTTTTAGAGGCAAAAAGCCACAAAAATTTATAAAGGATTGTCAAATAACACCAGAAACATAAGGGGAATAGAATTCTGTTTCTTAACTCAAATCCTTATTGTGTTTGGAAAGGTAAAGGTATGCATACATACACCAGTAGCCACAGATTGGTGCAGAATTTGAGTAAGTTTGTATCTCAATTTGCCTGAGAAGAAAATGTCTTTTACACCAATATTCTTTTAGACTGATATCAACTTAAAGATACAAAATATACGCCTCCACCATCATTTCCAGTGACTTAAGAAAGCCACCGTGTTTCATATTTCAACACTTAATTGCATTTGCCACCTTCTTATTTCAAGTTGAATTACAAAGACGCCATTAAGCTAGTATGCCATGAAAGTTGAATATTATTAAAAAAAAATGTGGATTGCTTATCAATAATACACAAACTGTAAACTATAATCCATTTTGTAAAATTACTTCAAGACTGGAATAAAGAACATTCATTGTCAGAAAAAAAAATTAATGAAATACAGTCATTTTTCACAAAACAAAATTTAAGCTTTCTGCCTTTTAGTAATATTATTACATAATATCCAAAATGTCCTCTGAATCAGGTATGATTAGATTTATTTTAGAGTTACAGGACAGAAAAACAGTGGATGGCATTTTGAATTGAATTTCTCCCATAACTGTAAATAAAATTCAGGCAAAAAACTGCAAAATGTAACAATAAGTAGTGTTATTTGGCTGGCTTAGAGGCAAGACACATCCTTAGCACTCAGCTATACACACACAATTCAACAAAATGGAACATGAGTCTAATATTTGGTCATAAAATAAGCTAGTTTATTTACCTTGGCTAAAGTTACAATTAGCTCTCAACAACACTAAGTCCAAAAGTCAATGAAAACTTTGAAATTGAATGGTTTTAAAAGATAGGTTGCTGTAATTTTTATGATGTTAACAACAATTGATTTTCTAGTTGGGGAAAAAAACCAACCAGGCAATAAGATTGGAGAATGCATGCACAACATCCTAGAAATAATTCACAAATTTTCCCCCTGGTTGTTACTATGATTAGAAAAAAGGTGTATTCTCTCTTTTTTACGAAGACAGTGATCTGTATTCCTCACATGGGAGAAAGCATAATGTCTGCCAGCTGACCAAGAGACTGATATAGGTATTTTGTGTTGTAGCTTTATCACTCAGCTTCCTACAGTGATCCAGACTGCCCACCTCTTAACACAATTTTATGCTGTATATTGTTTACCCTTGAATGGTAACATTTTCTCCCAAGCCAGCTTGCTTGCTTTTAAGTCAACAAATTAATGGAACTGAAAAAATACACAAGTCATCATGGTATGATCCAAAGCATTCTACTCTCCTCTTTCTACTTATAGAAAGTGACATCAATAATAGTCATAATTAAGGTATTGGCATTAAATAATTAAATGTCTGTGTATAAGAGCAATCACCAGCCACATTTAATGCACTTCAAAACATTTAACAGTCAGCCCCCATGAAAGAGGTACATGTACATTAACACCTAAAACAGTTTGGCCTCAGAAGCCAAACATACT